ACGAAGGATTCGGTACAACCGTGAATCCGTGGTTTGTGGAAGCGTTCCGGAAATTTCGTGGAAGAGCGGCGAGATAATAAGTGGCACACGGGGGTATAGCTATACACAGGGTACAAAGAAGAGAGAGAGTTTGGCAGAAGCTTTTGGGATCCTTGGGAAGCCGAGGACCTCGAAGGGAAAAACGTTGCATCGCCCGCAAAGGCAGTGCAGCAAAGCAGCAGCGAGAGAAAAGAGTTTTCGTTTGGGACTTGATCGAATTTTCCCACCCACCCACCCTGTCGCTCAAGAGAGGAGGGATCAATGGGAATAGAAAAATCGGTCTAGTACCAAATTTGTTCTCCAAATTTGCGTTGATTTTTGTGTTTCTGGTCAAGGGATATGACCTGGGCATAGACGTCGGGTTGGCCCGATAAGTGATACCTAGTGAGTCCGAGAGGAAGTCAACGGTTCGGCTCATAGGTTGGATTTTGTTTTGATATTTCTCGTGTTTCGGCGTTTTCTGATTTCTTGTCGCTTTTTCTAATAATCCAAATTTCTTGAGCAAAACACAAACGACGGATTATCGCGGATTATTCCAAGAAGACACGATTACCCGCCGATCGAATCCCCGACACAACCATCAGCATCCAACCTACAGTAACACCCCGAAGGTAGATCTCCGGCAGATCGTCTGACGTCACCATCTACGACAGCCTGAGGTGGCATTCACAGCACCCCATTATTCATTTTGGTTAAATGCGAGACAAGGGGGGTGATGCTGCTGCTGTAGTCGAGTTGTAGTGTGTGGGCGTGTAGTTCAGTTGTGAACACCCAAACGTGCTGCAGGGATTGTATGTGTACCTCCTCGGGCTTGTGTACCCTTTTCTTGCTAATAGTGTGTGTGTTCTTTAGATCTTCCGATGANGCTGCTGCTGTAGTCGAGTTGTAGTGTGTGGGCGTGTAGTTCAGTTGTGAACACCCAAACGTGCTGCAGGGATTGTATGTGTACCTCCTCGGGCTTGTGTACCCTTTTCTTGCTAATAGTGTGTGTGTTCTTTAGATCTTCCGATGACTCTAGCACTTTTGTGACCACGGACCGAGTCTTTGCTAGATTTTGGGATTAGACTACTGTTTAGAGCACTGTTTATGGCGGCGGAATCTTGATCTTAATCTTGATTTTTGGTGGTGGTGGGGGGGTCGATTCAAGAAAAATCTCGAATGTACACTTACTTGTTATGGAGTCCAAATCTTGCCTCAAAATCTTTGCAAGATTTGGAATGACACCAAAGAGCCCCCGTTTGCCCAAATATTTCGCCAAGATTTGGGCGCTGACAGCCTTGTCAAAATCTTGCCGAGAGGGGGTCAATAGCGCCGCACCGTCCCAGACCGCCACATAATCAGCGAGTGCGATCTGAGTTCTTGACGTATCGCTCCCATCAAGGGCTCCGACGAACCCTATGGTGAAGGGTTTGCTGTTCTGCTCGCTGGTTGTTGGTTGTCGATCGGGACACGAGCGTTAAAAAAATCATTTCGCATCACACCAAACGTGGAAACTCCCAAACGTCACGAGAGGGCAACAAAGCCGAAAAAAGCCCGCGTTCTGACAGAGGCGCGACAACAGCGCAATTGATTTCTCGCTCCCTATCAGTTCGAAAAAGCAAAGTGACGCCACGCACAATTCTCTCTCCATCGATGGAGCTTGCGATCTCCTGAGCCACGCCACTCCGAGAGAGAGCAAGGAACGGAGAGCACACCCTGACCGGTTTGGCGTCAATCGGTGTGATAGGGAGCGAGAAATCAATTGCGCTGTTGTCGCGCCTCTGTCAGAACGCGGCTTTTTTTCGGCTTTGTTGCCCTTTCGTGACGTTTGGGAGTCTCCACGTTTGGTGTGATGCGAAATGATTTTTTTAACGCTCGTGTCCCGACCGACAACCAACAACCAACGTGTGGAACAGCAAACCCTTCACCATAGGGTTCGTCGGAGCCCTTGATGGGAGCGATACGTCAAGATCTCAGGTCGCACTCGCTGGTTTTGTCTACTATCGAGGTGTCCACAACCCCCAAGTAAGATCAAGATGCACTTTTCCATACACACGTGCATGCAATAATCTTGATCTTGGGGGGGGGGTCGCTTTCATCTTGCCAAGGTTTTGAAGAATCAAGATCAAGATTTATTTGCCATAATAACCGTGGTCTTAGCAACTAACACGAGTTTATTTATTGTGAAGAAAAACAGCAACAACAATTATCTTCAATCTTGGGGCCTGAATCCGGATTGAAAGATACAAGACTCTTAGAATGACATGTACCCGGAGATTGTCTGGAATTGTGAAGTATACTGATGAACAACACGAGTTAAATGACTTGGGCCGTAGCGTACGGCGACTGCCATCATTCAACGAGTGATTTGTGTTTCTTTTGCAGTTATGAAATTTGGAACGTGTCACCAAAATATCTCGTCCGAGCGTCAATCGTACATAGCGCAGTCGTAACCACAGCTTGCAAGAGAGCAATTAGTTCAGGAATTTTGGCAACTATTTCCGTACGAGGAAACACGGAACGCCGCTGACGCCACCATGAGACGGTTGTCTCCAGGTTCACGTGTGAGCAAGTTCCCTTTGGGATGTGTGATGTGGATACACGATACACACCGGTTCAACCTCTGGTGGAGAGGCTGACGAGTACGGATAGTTGTGTTGAGTTCTGTGTTAGGTGGGGAGCAACCTTCCTTGTGTGGAAGCAAGGTTCAGCATCCAACCTACACAGACAGACTCTATCTGTGGTGACGCCCCGAAGGTAGATATCCGACAGGTCATCTGACGTCACAATCTACGACAGTCTGAGGTGGAATTCACAATACATACACTAGATGTCCCGATATAGTGCCGGTATGTGTCCAGGCGATTTGACCGGCACTAAACCGGGCACCGGCACTATTCAGAGTTGTGCCTGAAAAGTGCCAAACCGGCACTATTATTCAGGGCCTGAAAATCCCTCTTAAGTGCCGGCTTGGCACCAATCAGGACTGTTCCATTTCAGAGAGTGCTACAGCGCTTGCGCTTTGCGGGGCTGACAGAGTACCAAACGAACCGTTTTTGGATCAATCGTGAGGTGGGCGACGTGGATAACGAACTCCCGTGTTCCTTCGATAAAAAGCTAAAAGAGAAAAAAAAAGAGAGGAGCCCAAGCCTTCTTCAGAAGAAGAAGCAAGAAAAACGACTGGCCAACCAAAAGACGTTGTTAAGGAGGACCCGGTTCGCAGGGTATGCGACCCGTCGGTTGGCTTTTTTTCCCTGAATCATCGGTACACCTTCGCATATAGTGGCAGGTATGCGAAGGTGTAGTACCGATTCAGTCAGGTAAAAAACTTCAATCGACGGGATATAAGATACCCTGCGAACGAATCGGGTCCTCCTTAACACTCTACTCCACCCACCCACAGAATTTACCCTCAACTGGGAACCTCTTGTGGCCAGGATGGGTAATTCGATGGAAGGTCACAAGGTTTTTTATTGGATCGACTCCATCCAAGAGGTGTTCTCAGGACTGACACACATGTCCATGGGAAAATGTCCAATTCAGGAGGAGAAAAAGTGTGCACCCTGTCAGCGATATTTCGCTGTGCACTAGCAGCAGTACGATGCTGCAGATGCCAGGAGGCTGTGTAGCCTACCTCAGAGGTTCACACTCTGTGCGTCTCCAACCGCGAGATACTTGGAATGGAAATATGAAGATGCTTTTATTAGTTGCTGATACTGAACTGAAGAGGAGTGAGAGGAGTGGGCGAGCTTAGGGCTGCACCACTCTTTCTTCTTCTCGAATACCGGACAAATAAGCCAATCACACGAAAGATCCAGAATGCTTCCAGAATGATTTCTGGAAGCCCTCCTACGTTCTAGAAGAGTATCAACTGCAACCTAGATCTAGAACGCTTCCAGAAGCTTACAGAAGGAACCAGAAGTTTCCAGAAAGGCTTCCAGAGGCTACAGGAGGAACCAGAAGTTTCCAGAAGGCTTCCAGAAGCTACACACGTTCTACATAGATGTCCCGGTCAACCTTGACCTAGCATGCTTCCGGAATATTTCTAGAACAAGAGCATACATGCCAAGGAGAGATGGATACTTTTCTACTGCTACGCAGACTAGTTACTGCAATCGTATTCAAAGGTCAAACCGTGTCCGACTACTGGTGGTCTCGACGCACGATTTTCCTGACACACCCGAGGAGGTTCGAACCACCAGNTTTTCCCGGGGGGGTAGGAGCAGTGGTTGCCACCCCTCGCCGGCGGAGTGTTGGTGGCGGCAGCGCCTCCCGTGGTAACATGAGTGTTCCCCGAGATGCCAGGCAGCAGCACTATCTTGCTGGAGAGCAAGCCTCCACCGCCTACGGCGGCACCGAGAGAGCCCGTCTGCTGGAATTTCGCCGGGGTTTTGGTCTGCCGGCCACGCTGGGTGGTCGTGATATCCATGTCGGTGTCCATGATGTCGTGTTTTCCGCGGTTTGTGTTGTGTCGTCTGTGTTGTCTCGAAGTGAGCGCTACAACTCACGGACGGCGTCATTTTTTTTGACACAAGTTGCACAAGTCTACGTCACACGTTTAAAATGACTGCACACAGGTTCCAAGTTTTTGAAAGACAACTGTCGAAAATTTTGACAAAAAAGTCGGTCCGTTTAAAACGGTCCTCAGTATCCTCCTGCTGCCGCTGACGCGATAATTTGTGAAAGTGATACCCTGCGATAGATACCCTGCGAATTGGGTCCTCCTTCACAACAACATCAGTCTCAGTGCGATTAAAAACGGAAAATATTTGTTTCTCAAGGCAGTGAGAGGGTGGCTTTCTCTGGACAAAAGACAGAAATGGTAGCAACCGAGAGAGCACTACTACGTCATGACTGCCAATGCTTACTACTACTTTGAACACGCGTTTGTTGTTATCGGAGTGTTTTCATACTTCCTTAGAAGGAGTATTTTATTTTTACCACCACTAGACTACACTCTTCTGCCAAGGTGTACCGATTCAGGTAAGAGTCAATCGACGGACACCCTGCGAATCGGGTCCTCCTTCACACTCTCCACCCACAGAATTTACCCTCAACTGGGAACCTCTTGTGGCCAGGATGGGCAAATTGATGGAAGTGTCACAAGGTTCTTTCTAGGATCGACTCCAAGAAAGAGGTGTTTTCAGGACTGACTGACGTACATACATTGTGTTCGTGGGAAAATATCCAAGTCAGGATAAAAAGTGTGCACACAAGGAGATTTGAACCAGTAATTACCTTACGCCGCGAGCGGAGGAGGTGCATCGATTCAGGTAAAAGACACTCGGCCGATATTTAGCGAATCGGTTCCTCCTTAACACTTCACTAACATTTTTTCACATTTTTTCGCGCGTTCATCTACTCTAGATTCTGCGCCCCTGCGGCGTTTGTTGTGAGGAAGGTCATTTCGCTCGAAACTCTTGTTGTTCCCCTCAACGCCATATTTTCCTCCTGCATCATCACTGCTGCTATCTTTGGTAATATTTTTCATGTCTTTCGTCATTATTACCACCATCTTCCTTTTCGCTCGTCTCACTTCTGAAATCCCAGCCTATTTATTGGTGGAACCTAGTCGATCGGCCAACCGTGACGTTTGAAGACGTCACGCATACGGAGAGAAACCGAGCTATACTCGTAGTTCGAAGGGAAACCGTCTTCGAATCTTGTTGGCGTGGAGGGCTTGAGGCGAAAAAAGGCTGTGTGAGGTATGAACCGACACTATTGAGGGGTTCGATAGTGCCTGAACCGGCACTATAGCGGGAAGCCGTCAATAGTCCCGGAATGGCACTATTCAGGCCTGTGCCTGTGGCAAGAAAATTTACCGGCACTGTACCGGACTTTGGCACTATTCAACCGGCACTATATCGGGACATCTACTGTATACATTCAGCGTTTTTGGCACCCACAAGCTCGTTCAACCGTGTGCCTCTTTTCACCGAATCTAGACATTCATATGCCACCTTCAGTGCTCTTCATCGATTGCACGATGGAAACATGCGTATGCATGCAGCACCGCTTCGCTGTGCAAGTGGACGCCAACACCGTCTGTTTTCGAGTCATTTCTCTGGCCGGGAATCGGAGTGTGTTGATATCAACAGGCCGCCAAAATTGTTCCAGGAAGCGTTTCCGACTTGCAATCCAAGAGCATGCCTGCCTTTCACAGCAATCGAAATATCTGAGGGCGATGAGGTATTAGGGTTTGTTGGTCTCTCTTGAAACCATCCCTTTTGGGCCATGCGAAGGTAAAACATTGTGATATGATGTACTGTAGACTTGTAATCACTTAGCGACAAGTCAGCAAGTCAGCGCTGACTTTTACGTCGAAAGCACAGCAGTGGATAACTATGCTGATTGTACCTTCCTCCTCTGTGAGATGTACGGCATATCCACTATGCCACTAGTGGATACGCTCTACCTTGGGGTAGCAAACCCGTTAGTCAACAAGGCCGCTCGGGAGAACCGCCCATAAAAATTGAGGACCCCGGGCGTCTGGACGGCTCATCTCTCCCTTTGGTGGACACCGTGACACCTCGTTCGCTTGTTAGCGCGTGCGCGACGCGCGGGGGATGCTAGACCTGGCCGCGCTTGCGTACAAAATCCTAACACACCACTCGATTTTCAGGTTTGCCAGACGAGCACCTCGTCGACGATCACCGCGCGCTCTGGACGAACTACATGTACAACAATCGAACTGCACAACAGAAGCAAATGCATGCATCCCCCAAGGGACAAATCTTCGGAAAGGGACTGCCCTCGTTGTGTTCTCGCTCCTCTCGTGTCTTTTGTTTTGGCTGTCTTTGCGGTGAGCGAGTCGTGCGCGATCGGGTGCATGCCCTTCTCGCTTGTTCTTCCACGAAGAAGGAACACCATCATCCGAATCATCTCGTCAACCAAGAGCACGCACAGAAAAAAAGGTCGGGTATCCCCACTCTAACACCTCTTCGGCGATGGCTTCACGTTCTCCGCCACATTCCGCAAGGAGTTGCCGACCGCACAGAGCACGGGTTCATGTTCGCCACGCCAAGACTTCTAACCGAACACAAATACCGCACTGCGCGTGCCCCGAAAGAACACCGGTTAACTCCGTAACCGGTCCGATGGCATTCGCTTTCTACAGTAGCTCTGAACCATGCACCGATCGCGCAAATGAAGCGGTCTCGGCTACTCTTATTTCTGTGCCGTCCATCAACAGAACACTACGCTAAGGAGTTCCGCTTTGCTCGCTCGCACGCAGCAGCGAGGAGCCCTGCTACTGCGGAAAGCCTCCGATTCTGTAGAGAAAGACCCGCACCCATCCCTCTCTGCCCTCGCCATGGCACTAAGACCGCATCTCAACACGAACCGAAGCTGCTTGGAAAGGACTCCAGGGAGCAAAATCACTCCCGACGTTCCTTCTCGGAGCGCCGTGTTCGCTTAATCAGAATCGGTAATAGTTAGATACATTCGCTTCACAACCTCTGGAGGACCTCCGTCAGCTGCTCTGGCGTGTAGACAGAGTAGCCCTTTTCGGTTACGCTTGCCACCTCCACGTTGTCCGGGTTGATCTTCTCCTCCATCACCTGCCGAAGGCGTTTTTTCACGATCGTTTTGTTGTAAACTTGAATACCAGGACAATCACGTATCTGACGTCACAATGTACGAAACAGTCTAAGGTGACGTTATTACGTAGTAACCGCGAATACAACAACCACGGCAGAGCGGGGTGAGCGGCGCGGTGTTTTGACGGAAACCGGAAAAGTTGGCAGACCAATACAGACGTGAAAGGGAAGCGTACGTCGTGCAGTTGGTCCACGCACCCCTGCGAAGTAGACGTACTTTACTGCAGAATCACGAGTCCACCGGTACCCTCCACTCAAGTCTATTCCAGCTTGCTGAACTCGGGCTGTCAACTGAACGAAGTGGCTTGACCCAACTCAAGTTACTGTCCAATCGCCAGACAACCCCAACAAAGAAAAGCGATAAGTAATCAGACGCAATTGGCGAGGCAAAAGGAGTACGTATGCACAGCAAGTCAATGGTGAAGGCATCATCGAGGAACAAACGGAGCACAACAGATGGACACGGCACGGCCACCAGCATAAGCTTGTCGATTTCGACAAAGAACCGCCGACGATCCTCTTTCTTGGCTGCCGAGGAATGCGCCACGCGAAAACTTAGGCTTACACAAGGCGCCCAGAATTTAGCCCGGGCGCGCCCGCCCTATCCTTTTCCTTTCTTCACCTGCTTGAGCGTGGATACGGCCAACGCCTCCGCCTCGGCAAGCGTGAGAGAGTCGCTGTAGCCCTCCTGGAGGGTGCTCTGCGCCCCCTCGCTCCCCGAACCGATGGCCTTGCACTTGTACCGCACGAACATTCCCGAAGGGTCGCTGAAGAACAGCTGGGGAGGAAAGGCAAGAGGCAAGGACATGACGAGAGGGTAGGATCAGGTATTGGCGTGGGAGGAGAGCTGGAGGTGCGTGTTTTGCTTAGATGAGCTCGGCCGTCTGCTACGAAGCGGTACACTCTCTGCCGCTGCTCTTGAAGTGAAGCCTGCAGCTCTCTATCATAGCGAACTTCGCCCTCCATCTCTGATGAGAACACTTCTGTTGAGAGTCGCGCTCACGATACATGTCAAAAGCCAAGGGCTTCATCAAAACTCGGATTCAGCCCCAACGAGACCATCTGCTGTAGTGCACTATGTCGCCCCGGTGGTCTAGTGGTATCCTCGTCATCCGCTAGTCGCAGAGGTCGTGAGTTCGAATCCCCATGGGGTGAAAATTTTACGAAATTTGCGGGTGAAAGCGAAATATAGCTTAAAAAGCTCTCGTGAGTACAAAACTTCGACGCTAGCACCGTTGACGAGGGAAAGGGACGGCTGGACCCTTCACGCGATAAAAATAAAATTCAGCACGCACCGCAGGAGGAAGGTGGGGCATGAAAAGAAATAAAAAGAAGAAAAAAACCCTAGTGTTTACCCCCTCCTGTGTGACCCAGGATGGTTGTAGTTGTACAAAAAAATACACTGAAAACTGTAGTACTCTACATACGCTGAAAAGTGTTGTACACGTCTCACGACGAAAAATGGGGGTACTGTCGCCATAGTAAATAGGACGAAAATAAACACACACTATGTAACCCAAACGGCAATATACTGCAACCGAAAGCAAAGACCATGACGACACCACGGTGGCGGCGGTGGCGGTTCGTAAAAAGTCTTCCCAGCGCGTGGCACTGCCCTCCCCTGGAACGACGCAAGTTACACCGCACCTGCGCTCCCCGGTCATCGAACCCCGCCATGAGAAGCGCAACTCCGAAAGGACGGCTCATCGTCTTGGAGCCCCCTCCCTGAAAGAAGAAGAAGTCACCAGGGCACAAGAGCGCCAGAAAAAAAAGGAAACGTCACATCGATCATGGGTTGGAACCAGAGGGGAAAATGCAAACAAGACAACGAAGGGTCAGTTCGGTAGAAATAGAGCGGGGCGCACTCTTGTTTTGCATGCCTTAGCTGATACGACCACGGGTCCTTGAGGGGGGAGGAGGGGGCAAAACCTGACGATCACGAGAAGATGTACGTACGAAATACGCGTGCCTGGACATTGAGAAGTTGCCTGGACATTGAAAGCTTGAGCAAACACTACGTGTGTTCGGAATCCACAACCACAACAAACTCACGCAACCAGCACATAGGGTGCACAAAGGCATGCCAGAAACACACAACAGAGACTTTCGCACAACATGAGACCAATAGTAACTACTACGAATGACAACAACAACAACAACAACAACAGCAACAGCAACAAAAACAACTGAAATAACAACGACGACAACAACCACAAACCTCCCCGAAGCTGAGGGCCAGGTCGCACACCGCCTGGGTCAGCGCCTCGACGCGCATGGGTTCGTCGTATGTGAATCGGTGGTTCTGCGCCTCCACCCTGGCGTGGTCGACCAGGGTTCGGGCGTCCGCGATCAGCCCGCTCATCGCCGCACCGATGTGCGAGTCCACCTCCATGATCTGGATCCATGACAGCAGTCTCACACATGAACCTCTTGTCCATTTAGAAGCATTTTTTGTGCTTTCAATAGTAACTGAGACTGGCTTCTTTTTCAGTGGTCAGCCGGTTAGAAGCGCGGTCGATGCTAACAGTAATAACACATAGCCACCTCACCACAATCTCAAGTGAAAAGCGATAGCTTTTGCCGTCCAAAAAATTCGATGCCGGGCCAGCTGCAAGAAACGGAGAGAGGCGAGACGGGTCCCTCACGGGCGAGGCAATGACACACCGTGTCCTCTCTCAAAACCAGCATGACAGGTCAATGCCAACCAGCACTTCGTCGCTCGCCTTCTCTACGCTGCTGGGCTCGAGGAGGGGAGACGTGAGGCGCTTCTCCACCGCTAGGACCACCCCCTCCTTGGTCTGGATGCCCACCGCCGTAGACCCCAGCTTGATCGCCTCGATCGCATATTCCACCTACAGACAAAAAAGTCGTTGCAAAAAAATGCAGTTGGAAGCACAAGGCAAAGCACGATGCCACGCCCGGACATGTGTCAAACGAGTACATGGGTGGTACTCCATCATGACATGGGTACCGTGGGTGGCACTCCAGTGGTGTGGCAAAAGCAGCGAGAGGCCCCGGGTTATCCGTATAGTCAACAAAATTCATCGAAGACAGCGCCCATGACTTCGAGTTGAACGGCAGCATCTGTTGAGATCCCGGCAATGGGGCAATCTAACGTTCAATGAGTGTGAGCTGCTCGATTACACCAGGTGCCTGTATCGCCCTCACCCCCGACCAGGGCAATGCGTACGATGTGGGAACGACTTCACTGCTATAGTTGCCGTCCCGCCTTACGGAGCCTTAAGGACGTTCTCTCCCATTACTATTTATCAAACTCGCACAAGACACCTCTCTCTTGGCACTCGAAGCGAGACATCGCTAGCGAGAGAGTACGAGAAACGGGTCCAGAAGAACAGTAGGGAACAAAATTGAGCAAAATAGGTCTTGTTTGGTGTGTGCGTTTCCCACCCCTGAATACAAAAAACAGAAACGAAGCACGCGTCAACGCCCGTTTACGGGCCGCTGTTTCCTGCTTCCTATTTAGCGATGGGGCGAGTGCGCACGCACACCACAAAAAATGAAAAAACATAAAACAATTTCCTCAACTCACTGCAAGCCTTCAACACCCCACCTTCGACTCTAGCATCGCCTCGAACGGGTAGTCTTTCGGTGGTCGAGTGTACACATGCTAAAAGAAGCGTCATGGTATCGTGTAAGTTGGATGGATCCGTGCTGGTTCGTTGTTTACCTGAAACAGTCGGCCTTCTGGGGAGAACGTGTTCACCCCGCGGTCATACTCACTCCTGCACAGACGAGTCAACAACAACACAAAACGCAAGGGTAAGAAAGACGCAGGGTGGCAGGCGGAGGGCGGGGAGTGCAAGGGGCGTCAAGTGCGGCGTGTCCGCTTCATACCACGCGTTGGTTTTTTGCCCGAAGTCGCATGTAGACTATAACTCGGACGTTCATGACAGCAGTAATTGCCTCCTTCTCAAACCCTTTCAAGAGGTGGGCCGGTAGGAGGTTCAACGTTCCTGAGTGTGCGGGTCGCCAAGATTTGTGCTCTTGCGCGCAATCACGTGGACACTAATCCCAAACTCTAGTTCATCACTCAACAGCAGGTGTCCAATATTGATACCCGGCTACTCTAACTTATTGCCTGTTGATAGCCTACACCGGTAGACAGGATACCATGCGGTAGAAACCCCCCCCCCCCCTGACCGAATCTCCCGCGGGAGCTTCGTAGCCAAAGTCAAGTGTACGACAGGCACTGGTTGTAAGATGTATCACGCACGGAGATTTGACTTGTGCAACAACCTCGCACGGCAGCCCCGGCTCATTCTGCTCCTACTGCACGTGCACCCAGCATCCTCGTCGGCTTCTCTGGAAAACACAAACAAAACATAAGCTGCGATCCCAGCACCGAAAAGCTGCTGATGGGCATTCCAATACAGCAACGAGGCACAAATGCATTACTAATATCTCTCCTAAATATACGTCGTTGATGTCGGACGACGACGCTTTGCTCTCTCTCGCTACTGCTTTAGCCAATTCATCACCTGGTTGCGAACATCCTCGCTGTTGCTCGGCGTCCTTCACAGAGATCTGTAGAGCCAACTTTTGAGGATCACGTTGCTTCTCCGATTGCCGTCCCTTCTTGTGAGCGCAGTGGCTCTCCTCTTGCGTGAAGGTTAGCGCGGTGATGCAATCGTCAATCAGAGGAGATATCACACTTTCGAAGTGGTGTACGTGCTACAGGGAGGGCTAGACAGTAGTCAGACGCGCAGAGCGCGGGCGCGCTCGAGCAATGCAGGGGGTGACGCAACGAAGAAGGTGTACCTACGTCTCTTATGGGGGGGTCGTGCATGCCGCTCTTCTAGCAATCTCAGCACAGCAGACCCGCCGTGGGAGCAAGCACGCGAGAGTGCCAGAGAGAGACCTAGGCAGCGAAGGGGGGCAAAGGTACTGCTGTCAAAATGGTGCAGGAGGTTGCCGGCGAATCGGAGTTCCGCCGGCAGACGGGAAAGAAAGGGAAGCTCGTAGTGGTGAGTCCTTAGTTCGCGCATCCAGACGTCTTGCTCGTCAACGTCTTTGAAGTCAGCAGCAGCAGTTCATCCATATCTCTCGTATTCTTCGCGCCAGACCTCCGGGTGTCGGGCGGAGGCGTGCGTGGGTATTTGTGCTCGCTGCAGTCATCGAACAAGGAACGTCTTTGTCTGTCTATTCTGCTACGATGCCGGGCTTTGCCGCACAAGACGCGCTTCGCCTGTCTCAATAATAGTTTCTCCCAAGTTGCATTTGCGGTGTTTCCAGACCTTGTCCTGTCGGCGACGATAATCACCCGATCCACACACAGCAGCAATAGCAGCAGCAGCAGCAGCAGCAGCAACCACTATGCGAGACAGCAGCTACAGAGAAATGAAGCAACGGCGGAGGTCGTTGTCAAATTCCGGCGAAACGTGCTGTCATAGGTGTTCGCCAAGGACGAGGAGCTGCGAATTGTTTACTCTTGGTGCTCGAGAGATTGTTCCTCGTCTCCTCTGGTTTACGCGTCACCTGGGAACATCCACGATCTATCGTCCACTGTGGGCTCCCAATGCCCAATGCTTGCCTTGCGGTTTAGTAGCAACTCCTACCAGAGTAGGTGTAGCGGTGCACTAAGGGCTGCACTGATGCACTTGCTCTACTTCTGTGAGACAGCGAGAGTGTCGGTAGGCATTGCCGGACAGAAATCGTACCGCTTGGGCGCACGCCGCCTATATCTTTCGGCTTCGGCAGAAACATTCGCCCGCCTGTTAGATGCTGCTGCAGAATGACTGCTGTGCACGCTGCTGTCAAGAGCTTCTCGCTGGTGTTCGCGTTGTGTGCGCGTGGAGGTCACAAGCTCTATTAATATGAAACAAGATGAAGAGAAGGTGCAGATGATTTGACACATGATCGTCCCTCTCTCTCTCTCTCTCTCTCTCTCCTTCCCTCCCTCCCTCCCTCCCTACCTCCCTGCTTCCGTAATCGATCTCTGCATATTCTGCCTTTTTTGTCGGCGATGTGTGCACTGCTGCTACAGGTAGACTTCACGGCCTCCTGGTGCGGCCCCTGCAAGAGGGTGGCCCCGCAGTACGAGCAGCTCGCGTCGCAACACCCGGATGTTCTCTTCCTCAAGGCAAGACACGTGTGCGATACAACAGGGGTGGGCCGGGTTTAGCGAACCCAGGCAGTTCTCCGGGCCCATTGTTTTTTGTACACCATGGTACTCCATTTGTTAGGGTAAGTAATGTAGCCTCTCACGACGGGAATCGACCGCGTCAAGTGTTCGATCCACACGGACAGAGGTACTTGATAGAGACATCGGAACGGTTCTTATTGTGAAGACAACAGCAATTACAGTGTCTAGAGAAAAACTGGCCGCTATTTAGGCCAGGTCGCTACTGCCAGTGTAGCGGCTATGGTACAGCCGTGGTGCCACGCGATGCAGGGCATCTCGCTCAACACGGGGTCCCTAAACCGCCGCCCCCACCTCTGTAGCGAGTTATTCACGGGTTGTTAGTCCTTCCGAACGGCCGATATAAGCGCCCTGCATGGCGATCCTGTATAAAATCGGGCACAGAATGTACCCACCGTGTTGTGCATTGGACATGTCTGAGGCTTTGAACATGATTGGAAACGACGGAGATTGTAGCGCAGGTGCGTCAAAGTGGCTTGCCGGGTTTGTGGGTGTTTCGGCTGCGGAGAATCTACTTGTACGAAAACGTTTCCAAGCGACATGGTGGGCACATACGTAGCGCGGTTGGTTGACAAAGAGAACAGGGGGGACGGGCGGAGAGAGAGGGTATGATGGGGAGTGAGAAACAGCGACAGAGGTATAAGAATGCAAGAGATTTGAGAGACAAGGAGATAGAGTCAAGGGGGAGAGAGAGAACGACCATGACTATGATGGAGAAAAACTGGCATGGCGTTGGCGAGATAATGTTGTGATCCCACGTGCTTTTTTCGCAGGTGGTAGAAGACTCCAACAAGGAGCTGATACAGTCGCTATCCATCCGGGCGTTCCCGACGTTCCGCTTCTACCTCGAGGGGAATCAGGTGGACGAGACACGCGGCGCCAATATCCAGGAGGTCGCCACCAAGGTACAGTTGCCCACCGTTGGCTCAGGGCGTGTGTGCCTCTCGGGGATATTTTGTATCGACCGCGCTAGGCTAGCCGTCTGATGAATGGAAATACTTGAGTTTTCATGGCGTGATACAAAACGCAAACACCCTGTCTATGCAACGGGTTCTGCCGACACAGCGGGGGGCGCAGGAGTTAACGTAAGTGTGTGTGTTTTTATTGTTAGCATCGACCGCGCTAACCGGCTGACCAATGAAAAGACGTCAGTTTAGTGCGGTTGAAAACACAAAACACTTCTATTTACCATGAACAAGTGTGTGTGTGAATGAAAGAGAGATAGATAAAGAGAGAGAGGGAGGATTGAGAGAGAGAGGGAGGGAGAGAGAGAGGAGTTTATGGTCAATGGCCTAATTACCTCGAGTCAATCAACCAACGGATTACCCCCCCCTCCCCGGCCACACACGCACCATGCAGGTGGTGCAGCACAAGGCCAAGGTCGTCCAGGCCTTCGCGGGCGAGGGCATGTCGCTCGGAGGGGGTAGCGGCGGTGGCGCAGCCGGCGCTGCCGCCGCGTCGCTCACCCCTGCGGAGGCGGCGGCGGAAGCTCGAGCCAGGCGTTTGGCGCGCTTCGGAGCGATGGAGACAACCGGAGACGGAGCGAAGCCGGATCCTGAGGTTGCCAAGTGAGAAGAGGCGGTTGATAGGAGAGGGGATGATGATGAGAAGTCAGAGAGCGTGCACCATGGTGAAGGTGGTTGGCTCCTGGCCCCGCCGTCTATCTTGGTCTGCACGCTGCTTCGGTAGTCTTTTTAGCATGAATACGTGTTTGCGCTTGTTGTGACTCGGGCCAAGTTTCGAGGTGTTCCTTTTGCGCACCTTCACCGAAACAACGAGTCTTTTTCGTTCTTTTTTTTGGCTTTGGTCTATTAAAATGAATTTCCATATTTTTATGCTCCGCCTGCTTCGCTCTCAAGGGCCAAAAGGCTGTGAGTCTCAAAGGAGGGGAAGCGTGAAGAAGCAGTAGTAGAGAGGGGGTTTTGTCTTTTTTGCAGCCGCTTGCAGCGATGAAGGACGAAGGGTGATGGCCACGGTTCTGCGTCCCCCGTCCCCCCCGCGTTGCCCATCTGCTTCCGCCGCCGGTACTTCATCGGGACTACTGCTGCTGTTATTGCTGTTGCTGCTGCTGCTGTTGCTACCACCAGGCGCAACGCAAAGATTCTTGCTTCCGCTGGACCCGCCGATTTGCCCCCCGTTGCCGCCGCTTCGTCCTCCTCCGCGATGGATGTTGATCCCCCCGCCGTCCCCGGTGGCGGTGCGCTCGGCGGAGGTTCGAAACCTAGGCGGGCGGCGGACCCCGCGCTAGTCAGGCAGGTGAGCAAGCCTTTTGGTCGTCCGTCTGATGCGGTGGTGGCGGGGGTACGGGGTTGGTACACTTGTTTTTTGTTGTTCTCTTGAAACAATGGGGCAAGGAAGACTGCACTCGTTTTCCATGGTGATGGGGGTGGATGTGGTTGTGATTTTGGTGGCACTTCGTTCTTCGGCCATTGTTCAGCCATCGTTGTCAAACCCAGCACGGCAGCCCCGACGCCAACCCCCCCCNCCCCCCCCCCCCCTCTCCCAACCTTGGTTTTGTGTGTCAGCTCACGGAGATGGGATTCGCGGAGGTGAGGGCGAAGAAGGCGCTCATGTTCGGCAACGGGAACGACCTGGAGAACGCTGTGAACTGGATCATGGAGCACGAGGAAGACGCGGGCATCGACGACCCCATCCCGGAGGGCTACCAGCCGGCGGCGGTGGGGGCGGCGGCCCCGATGGACGCCGACAACGGTAAAAGTGCTGCCGGTAAGCTAGTTCCTGTCTCCTGCGATACAGCTTCTGTGCAAGGAAGGAGGGTCTGCTTCGTTGATAACTCTCGTGGTGTCTGTTGTCGAGAAGGGGAGCAGCATTGTTTATTGCTCTGATGGTGCGGGAAAGCTTGTGCGTGTCTCCTGCGACACAGGTTCTGTGTGAGGGATGATCTGCTCGGTGGATGTCTCTCGTGGTGTCCGTCTGATGGGCGCGACCGGCTTATATTGTTTGTTGGTGGTGTCTCCCACGAAAGACTGCAGCTCATGAGTGTGCTGTGTGTTTCGGATCGTGAGGTCGGGAGGTAGTATTGTAGGCGTCTTGATCTTGATGACAGTTTTGTCGCTGAGGACGAAGACACGCGGTTGTGTGTTGTTGCCGTCAACGGCCAACGCTGCTGCTGCTGCTGCTGCTGCTGCTGCTGCTGCTGCTGCTGCTGCTGCTGCTGCTGCTGTATCAGGTGGCGTGGCGCAGAGCTTAAAGTGCGACGACTGCAATGTGATCCTCAAGGACATGGCGGCGGCAGAGCTGCACGCCAGCAAGGTAACAGACACACTCGCGCGTGGTTTGTTTTCATGATTTTCGTGCCATAGGCATTCTCCCGCCACCCCTCATGAAACACCTTTCGTTATTTTAGGTGTCTCTTCACGCACGCATGCAGCCGCCACCCTTTGTGAATCCTCTTTGGTTTTTTGAAGTGTCTCTCCCTCAAGCTTGTAGCCTTTCTCTAGCTGTGTTACTCAAGGCGTTTCAGCTGACGAATGAAACAAGCCCCCGTCCAGCGTTTCGCTTTTCTTTTTCTGAAATCTGGAAAGCNTTTTTTTTTTTTTTTTTTTTTTTTGTGGGGGGGGGGGGGGGGGGGGGGGGGGGGGGGGGGGGGCGAGGTAAGAAAACTGCAACCACGGGGAGTGCTTCCGGAACATTCGTGACCAAATGCGAGGCCCCAGAAAACTGATTTTTTCCGGGTTTGCCGGCGTATTCAACCCGCTGACACCTGAGGAATGCGCGTAGAACCGAAGGAAAGTGCTGTGGGTGTCTACTCGATCAGCCGTCGTGTCGCGACACCCCCTGTAGTGTAGTCCCCATCTAATATGGATTCTTGAGACCGAACTACTCTTCGCATGTTTCGGCTAGAGCCAAAAGGAAAAAGCAAATGGGGTCCTCGGGGTGTGTGCTAGAAGTTCTCGCTTTATTATGTGGGAGAAGTGGTCGGCGAACACAACGCCTGCGGCCCACGTATTTTTTTTTTTCGTCGGTAGCGTCTCCTCGTCGGTACCGTCTCCTCTCGAACACGAGCGCAGGTGCGACAGCGTTCACGACAGCCGTTCGCCCGCAGCTTCCCTGATTCTCGACCATCGAAAGGCCCTGTCGAGGACATTCTTTTTGATTCCCCAGCCCTTGCTTTTACCGAGATTCGGGGTGTCTTGCAGCGTGCGAACAACCTGTGTTGGTGTTGTCCGCACATGCAGTTACTCGTACCCTGCCTCGTCGCCCATCGTCTGTGTTTTTTGCCGATCCTTACACAACTTTTCGTTGGACACATGTATCGTCGGTTTTTTCTACGACGTCATTCGCGCGCGTTTTTTTTTTTTGTTATTTTCTCGCGATCCTTCTTGTGGGGCTGTTGCCCTGCCCCCGACAGACTTCCCATGGCAATTTCAGCGAGAGCACCGATGCGGTGAAGGCCCTGACCCCCGAGGAGAAGGAGGCGAAGCTGGCGAGGATGAAGGCGATCATCGCCGAGAGGAGGGCAGCCAGAGGGGAGGAGGAGAAGGTCGACCACGTGAAGGTTTGTGTGTGGTCGTGTGCATGTGTGCGCGTGTGTGTTTTTGGATTTGCACCAACTCGCACTTCCTGTGTGTTTTTTTTTGTTATTGTTTGCATCGACCGCGCTAACCAGCTGACCAACGAGAAAGTAGAGTGTGTATGCATGTTTTGTCTGTGTAGTTGTCATCGCATTCGTTCTAGACGTTTTTTTTTTTTTCACCTTTCGGTGTGATTTCTGGACGCGCAAGCCGGGGTCACACGGGAGGGAGCAGTGCCACACAAGAGTGTGTGTTTGTGTTTTGGTCTGGTGCCACCATTCGTGACAGACGGAGACGGGGGCTCGTTTTCGTTTTCACAAATAGAAGCAGGGTGTCTGAGTTGTGACTGCAGTCCCGGGCACCAAAGACATGACGAGATTGAGATTCACACGGAATGCAACGCCCCAGGTAGAGTGAGAAATGGGCCTGACAAGTAGATCTATTGCATCTTTTTTGGTCATGGTCGAAGAATCTTCGCTCTGACATTGCTCGCAGGAGCTGCCGTGGGCGCAAAACGTGGTCATGTTTAAATACGTGAGAGAAGATCCCCGTTTCCCCCCGCGATTCGGCCTCCATATTGTTGCTGGAGAACCTACGTCACTCTTTTGTTTTCCTCCAATGCTGTCCGATCGCAAGCATCACTATGGGAGATCTGTATCAAACATATGACTATGAATGTTCAGAAGTCCCGTGGGACCCTTCGTGCTGAGACGTGAGCACGACCGATCGTTGGTTTCCTTTCGACACCTTTGGATGTACGATGAAGAGAGAGAGAGACAGAGAGAGACAGAGAGAGACAGAGAGAGACAGAGAGACAGAGAGATAAGGGGGTGCCAGCTGCGCTGGGTCTTCAAGCTGTTTTCTGCCCAACCCTATCAATTCTGCTGTACGAGTTGTTTTGCCTGTCTTCGGTCCCCAGCATGTACGTTTTTCTCATCCTTGTTCTCTCTTTCATCCTCTCTGTCGCACGTACGTACCTTATTCTCACTTCTATTTTTCCCTATCCGTGCATACGTGTGTTCCGTGTGTACCTTTTTTTGTCGCGCAGCGAGAGAAAGCGAGGCGTACGATGGGCAAGGAGGCTGCCAAGACCAAGGAGGAGATGCAGGCTATCGCGCGCAAGAACGAGATTGCCCGTATAAAGAAGGTACAGCAAATACTGGCTGCTGTGTCGAGAGATTTGGGAACAAGCGATATGTTTTTTTTTTGTTTGTTTCTCTCCCATCATTGGACTCTGCCGTCTGCCCCTCTGGCCCCTATCCTACGCTTCTACTGGCTAGACGACCCAACCGGGGTCACATAGGAGGGGGGGGTTGGACCCCCTCCTGCGGTTCATGCCTGAGGTATTTTTATCGCGATGTGTATGCTTTCGGCCAATAGACGACGTGTTCTTACACAGGCAGCAGGGAAGGACCGCGACAGATCTTGACCGTCCAGGCTCGCAGAGAGTACTTGTAAGAGCACCTGTGGTGGGATGAGTGGGCAAGTTTTGCTCGGTATTTCCCCGTGCCTTGTGCCGTAGCAGAGCCCTAAGCAAGTTTGACCTCGATCGCCGAGACCGGTGTTGACGTAGGGAGCAGGCGCTTAAAGCGAGAGAGCTCTACATACATTGTGGCGGGAAGAACGGGGCGCACGCGCCCACTGCCAAGCCGCAAACTAATCACGGTCTTTTCTTCGCCTAGAAGCTAAACCCGTTCAGCAGATTTTTTCTACGGTTGCCCCCCCCCCCGTCGTTCTATAAGAGAGTGAGAGGGCGTAAGAGTTGTGTTCGAGCTGGACAGCGAGTGCACGGCATCTCACCGATTCCCCTTGCACGTTTATTTGAGTTATCTTCTTGTTTGCCATTAGAAAGAATGCAGTCGCGTTGGCAAGCTCAGCACGCGCGCGCGAAAAACCCCGCCCACCTTGTTTACCCCCCCCCCGTCCGGTGTTTGCCATCGGGGTTGGGTTTTCGTCGCTTGGCAACGACGTTGTAAAACAAGCCACTCCCCCCCGGTGTTTGCCATCGGGGTTGGGTTTTCGTCGCTTGGCAACGACGTTGTAAAACAAGCCGCCCCCCCCGGTGTTTGCCATCGGGATTGGGTTTTCGTCGCTTGGCAACGACGTTGTAAAACAAGCCAATTCACTTCGTGAACTCGGCAACCAGGTTACCGTTTTTTTTTTTTTCCTCCGTTTATTTTTTTTGGGCGGTAACCATAATGATGGTTGAGTAGATCATGTTGTGCGGGGTGAACCCTCACTCCGCGCAAGGGGGATGATCGCACCACGTTGTGTCAAAATGGTCAAGCACTCTCGAGGCAGTTACACGGTGCTTACAATTGTCTGTGGAAGTGAAAGCACCAGAAAATAAATTAATTCATACGCAGCTGTCATCCGTACGCAAGGAAGTAAGCACAAGATGCCGAACACCCTTAGCAGGATGCAGCGCACCCTTCATGCGACTCGCCGAATATCTCACGGCGCTTCGCGCTTGGTGATGTGAGAGCCTGGTCCGGTGAGAACCCGGCGTGCTCCGTCCCGGCTTTGTAGGGATGCGAGGTCAATGGTCTAACGACTACGGCATGCACGACTATGAGTACACCCTGTTTGCATTGCCACATGGCTGTTGCGCGCCATTGCGCCTTCTCCCCCCCCCCACCGCGAAAACCCGGCATGTCGCCCCGTCCCGGCATTGTTTAGATGCGCCGTCAATGGTCGAACGACCACTGCATGCGTCCCCCTCCCCCCCCCCCCNCCCCCCCCCCCGCCTGCTCAATCAACCAAACAGGAGAAGCAGGCGTTCGAGCAAGAGCGAGCACGCCTGAAGGCGGAGATCGCCAAGGACAAGGCCGAGCGGAAGGCGAGAGGAGGGAAACTCTCCACCAAGCTCGGCGTGGACGGTTACAAGCCCGCCGCCGCGCAGGGGGTGTACGGCGGCCCTAGCGCGGCGGGAGGGGCAGGGGCGGAGGGCGCGGCACCAGCTGATGCTGCAGGGCCCTCCGAGGAGGAACAGGTGGGCTATATGGGTCTGCTGCTGTCTGTGTGTGATTGTCTCACAGGTGGGGGCTTGGTTTTCGGGGTCCCCCCTGTTTTCCTTGTGACTCAACGCCCCTTGGAGTGTTTCTTGCCCGTGAAGAATATCAGCGGCTCATGTGTCTGCGAAAGGAAAGGGGACATGTAGTTACGTCTTTTCGCCACATTCAGTTCGGTTTTTCGTGGGCACATGCGCACTGTGGATAATCTGTGCATATGTTGTTGTTCGAAGCTGTTGGGTGTGTAGCCCGTGAAGGAACGGCGAGCATCACCGAAGTGCATGGTAGGAGACGCGACTCCCAGCCTCCCCCCCCCCCCCCC